CTTCCGACCCTAGAAACTATGAAACTATGAAACTAAGATATACTGCATCATAACATGACTAGCATTTCAAATATGCTCACTTGGGACTTACATACATTGCCAGGTTTAAAGTTGTGGACTGATGTAATTTACGCAAGTTAAAAAACAATTCAGAATCCCAGACAATCAAAGCCCACTGTTAAGGCTGTTGCCTGGCATTGAAATGCAACAGTCTGGTCCCCATGTGACCAGAGACAATAAAAGAGCTAGCTGTATTGGCAGCAGAGAAATTCTCTTTCAGGTGGGTCAGGACTAGAGCTACTGCTTTAGAAGCTAAGAGTTCATGGCTCATGTTCAAGTACAGGTAGATTCACTGACTGGAATAGCACTTAACACATTAAAGTGGATATCTCTTTATTGTTGTGTGGCTTACTAATGAGCTGAAACAGAACACTCTGTGCAAACTGATGAAGCACTTTGCAGCATGAACTTTCTAGTTCTTGTAGTCTGCTTGCAGACTTACCACCATAACTGAATTCAGCATTTACTTAGTGGTTCTTCCAATTTCCTGACCAAAATCTATTTTGGATAAGTATTTTTTGCCATATAAAGACCCCTCCCACCCCACTTATTTCAGTTAGATATTAAATTATCTTTGCTTCCTCTTCTAAATTGTAGTGATGCTGTTACGCTCTTCATCTGGTGTCTGTTTATAAGTGGATAAAGCAATTTTTATATGGACATACTTGATTTAAGGCTGCAAGCAAATGTAAATCATTTTTTCCTTAGGGACTGGATGATGGGTAACTTGTGGTGGCTATATTTCCATTCCCGTCTTGTTACATACTTACATATTTCATACCTGTTAATCTCTGTAGTTATACTTCCACTTAGAGTAGAACTGTTTTAAAAATTTTAGTTCAATGTTTGATTCCCTGAAAAATGCAGATTCAGGATAATCCAGATCTATAGTACATTCATGCTGGCTGAAAGAAATTTGGAAGTGTGGGTAATTCACAAATTCCCTCGCCCACTAGTGGTTCCAGCAGGTAAAGTCCCTCACAGTAAATTGTGTGCCTCTACCTTTCTGCCTCTCCTTTCTTGAAGCAGATAATCAGTTTACATTTAAATCATAGTTACTAGGAATCTGGACTAACACCAAACTGAGATGAATGAGACAGTTTATGCTTTCCACTGAGGTTATTCCAGGATCCAGACAAACTCCTTTCTGCATCATGGAAAAGTGGTGCACATGTTGTGGCAGTTTTCATAGCCTTACCACAGCAGCTAACTTTACTCTGAGTGTCAAGTTAAAACTGGGATTCTGGAGAGCAAGATAACCTTTCTTTATTGTGGGTGTGGGAATCCACTGGCCATTTCAGAGCACTACACTTCTGGCAGAAGGCTTAATCTAATCTCCTGTTTGTTTCCTTTTCTATATTTCATCTATATGCCCATTCTCAGCTGTTCACTGCTCGCCACCACCTTCTCTTCCATGTTATACTATCTTTCCATTTGTTGCCTTTTATTTTTAGCCACTGTTGCTCTCTATAATTTCACCATTTTTTTCCCCTCCTTCCAAGGATCTTTCTTTTTTCCTCTAGGTGTACTTATACCCCAGAGATCTGCACCAAAGAAGGGCAGACCAGAAAAGATTTGGCCACTTCAGAGATTTGGCCATAGACGAAACAGGCCCTTCCCGGCCCCATCCCCAACCTGGCCCAGCCTCCCGGCACTTAAAAAAAAAAGCCCCACACTCACTGGCTATGGCAGCGGTAATCAGGGCCTCTGGGTGCTTGTGGCAGAGCCCCCCCCCATTCAGTGTGGGGCACAGGGGACAATGGGGATTACCAAACTCCGGTGCTTGTGCAACTGTGTCTATCTTGGGGCACTGCAGTGCGGGGGATGGGACTACTGCAGGTCTGGCTGCTAAGCTACTGTTACCAGTTAATCATGATTCACTCAGGGACCAGCTCAATACACAGTACCTAGCTACCACATAATGACTTAAAGAGTATGGGTTAACACCTACAAAAGCAGGACTAAGGAGAGGAAAAAATCAATACAGACAATCAGCTGCCCCAAGACAGACACAGTCAGTTGCAAAAGCACCCATGTCACGAGTTTTTTCTGTCAACAGCTAGGGGTGCAGGGCCCCAGAACCCAGAAGACCCTGCACCGATTTCCTCAACAGCTGGCAGGCTTTGTGGCTGCAGCAGGGGCCACCTTCCCTGCAGCTTTCACCGAGCTGCGCCTTAACACACACAGTGTTACCCATGTCACGAGTTTTGCTTGTCCGCAGCTTGAGGTGCAGTTTCCCCCAAACCCCTGCGCTTATCTGCTTGAAACTTGGCAGGCTTTGTGGCCTCCACAGGGGCTAGCATGCCTTCAGTTTTGACCCCACTGTGGCTTAACACATACACGTGACATAAGTTTTGCTTTCAGGATTTTGGGGTACAATTTCTCCGAACTCCCTGCACCAATCTCCTTGAAACTTAGCAGACTTTGTGGCCTCAGCAGGAGCTAGCATTCCTGTAGTTTTGACCCTGCCGTGGCTTAACACATACATGACATAAGTTTGGCTGTCAAGATTTTGGGGTGCAGTTTCTCTGAACCCACTACACCGATCTTCTTGAAACTTGGCATGCTTTATGCCCTCATAAGGGGCTACCATTTCTACATGTTTTATCCAAATCTGGCCAGAAATGACAAAGTTATAAGCTGTTTTGACCTTCCCCATTATAGCCTATGGGCGAAACATCGAAACAGCATTGAAACGGTGAAACGTTTCGACTTGCCTCATTTCATTTCAAGGCTGTTTCAACCATATCTGTTTCATTTCTATTTTGCTGTTTCGACTTCAAAACAGCGTTGAAACAAAACTGGTGGTGAAATTTCGCATAGCCCTAACAGTTACTACTTCTTTGTTAATATTCAGGTTGTTAAATTATTTGTTTATAAGAGTTCAAAGCCTGAAGAACTGAATAATCAACTTTGTTACAAAGCTGTGGAAAAATATACCAAATAAGTTATCATGTTTCTGTTGTTAAATCATTACAACTGAGCATTGATCACATATAGCAAAAAACAAATAACAAAAAATCGGTAATATAATTCAGGACATTTTAACTATCTGTAATGAGCAAAGAACTGAGACAATGTGATGAAATATGTTGAAGGCATTCACTTTCACAGGGATCAAACAATTTCTGTGTGTTTTGTGATTATTTCTATAAAGTCACCAATTTTTCACCTAAAAATCAACATTTTCTAATGAAAAACTGGGGTGCTGGTAGATTAAGAGTCAATAGTTTAAAAGGTGTGAAAAACAATTTCAGGAATTCATTTATCTTAAAAGCCATATTTTTTTTTTTAAAGTTGTTCTCACTCTCCCCACTCTTCTCCCAAATAAAAATACCTTGTTGTGGAAAACTGTAATAATCTCTAGTACTCCATGATTCATTTGTGATTTCACACCAAGATCAATAGAAACCCTCCCCCACAACACACACACACATACACACACTTAGTCCAAAATGAAGAATTAAATAATGATAGTAAATTTAAAGGGATTAAATCAAACTGGTAAATTTAGGGCCTGTGAAGGCATTAGTTTGCATATTGCTAATTGAAGATCCAAAGATTGTACAAATGAATCCTGGAACAGACATTAGGGCTAGGGACAGACGTTACACATAAACTGATTTAAGTGATCAGAAACTGGTTTAAACCTGTAACAGAACAGATGTTCAGTGCACATAAAACAGTTTGAGATAAACCTGGTCAAATGTAGTATCAGACTTAAGTGATTTGGCTCAAACTGATTTATGAAATGTCTGTCCCAGACCCCTTGCTGGTTTAAGATAAACCAGACACCCCCAGCAACCCAACGTGCTCTCTGGGCTGAGCGGGGCTCCCTGCTTCACAGCAGGGCTGACCCCTCCCCTCTGCTCCCTGCCTGCAGCTCCAGCAGAGAATTGCAGGCACAGCAGTGCCTGCCTGGTTTCTCCCTGCTAAGCAGGGCTGGCCCCTCCCCTCTGCCTTAGGCAGATGAATCAGCATGAGCTAGCAAACCACATGCTGGCTACAGTCTGTGCTGTGGGAGATGACCAAGGCTTTTTGGAGCTAATTAACAGATAGCTTTTCCAAGGCAAGATATTAAGCTGTTTAAAAAGAGTTATTTGCTCTCCGCCTCCACATTACCACTCCCTGCTAATCAGGAATTCCCCCCTTCCCTTCACCTTGCAGGGAGTTGTCTGTGTATTAGCTAGCAGACCACATTCTGGCTACTGTACATGCTGAGTCAACAGGTGGAATCAACAGGCAGAATCAACAGGTAGCTGGTAATGTCCCTCTGTTGTTTTATTAATGGGGTGATAAACACTGTTATCAATTCTCTGCTGGACTAATCAAGGCGTCCTGCCGAGGCCTGGCCATGCACCAACCCCGCTTAGCTCAGTACTATACAAGGGAAGGAAAGGCTGCTCTAACACCCCCAGCTTCTAGCCAGAGTGACTGCAGGCATGTGCCTGCATGTCTGGGATGTCTGTGCAGTTACAAAGTGATTTAACCTAGCCAGGTTAGACTAACTTGCAAAGATTGAATCAATTCAGACTCTGGCTTTTTGAATGTCTGTCCCTAGCCTAGAAGCTTGATTTTCTAGCACAACTGACCATTTTGCATTACTGTTAAGATCTTTATTTTAAAAAGATCCAAACTTGTAAAACCACTATCTCTTTTGGGATGGAAGCGAGAAATCCTAGACTCCTACAGTACTGAGATAAATAAAACACTATATATATGTGTTTTGGATGTTTTATGTAATTTAGGGCTTGATCCTTCTCTCCATTCTTCTCTGAAATCTGTGGGGGTTGCTACTGATTTCAAAAGAAGTCAGAACACACCCTGACAAAAAAAGCTTTTGATTATACACATTATGTTCTGATAGTCATCAGGACATCTTGTGCTACGTAGAATGCCTCTTCATACTACCATTTGGAAGAAGACTGGTTTGAATAACCTGAAGACACTCGCAGATAAATCAGAACAACAGACCTGCAAAAGTTGGGTGTGTCAATAAACCCACTGTGTTGAAAATCTGAGTGCTTTGGAGAAAGGAATTTCAATACACACAAAATATATTGGGTATTTTATTTGTCTCCAAACTAATGCAACATATTATGTCAGTTGGTGGTCTCTATCTTTCTGAAGCCACTGAATTCAGATATTGAGCCACATGCTGCTAATTGCTGCTGCCTGGGAACTCTTTGTTCTAGCACTTGAACTGCCTTTGTCACTTCCTTTGCATTTTGTCTTTTGTTAAAATTCTGAGAAAACCTTTATTTCTGCACAGTAAGTGGGACTAGGCTATAATTTGGGAACTTTGCAAGGATGATTGTAAATCCAGAATAATTTATTGCTAGCTAAACCTAGAGTTCATGTAAGGCAATCTCCCCCCCCCCAAAAAAAACCCCCAAACCAACTAAAAACAAAAAAACCAAACAAACAACAAATTCAGCTGTAATAGCCTGGAAACCTTCCTGGTAAGCAAAGTCTAAACCTAGAGAGCTAAATTAAATAGGAGAGGAGCTTTAAACCAAGAAAAGAAAGGTATCTGAATAATACAAACAAGTGCCAGTTGACATTTTTGACAGGCATTTTATTTCAATAAAAAGTGGCCTTTTCTTGAAAATGAAAGTTTGAATGAAAAATGTTGGCTTTATGGGAATAGTCATGTGAAACTGTAATCAAGTTATATCCAGCTTTGTAAACAAAACAAAACAAAAAACAAAATCAAAATCGTCATATTTTTTTTTTCATTTGCCCTAACCCCAGTTCTTAGTAAAACTTTTTTGGTAAATTGAAGACATCAGGAGAAAAGAAAACACTCTTTAAAAGTGCTAAATGTGGACAATGGGTGTGTCTCAGTCTGTTTATAATGGAAACAGCTTTGTGATTTGCAAGTTTATTTTCTGTTCTTTAATCAGTTCTAATGCATTTCTGAACCTGAAAATCCCTCACATACAGGGACGGTTTGTCTGCCTTATGGTTCCCAAATGTTTGGGACCAATGGAACACTGCCAGTCATCAGGTTTTTTGTGGATCCACATGCATCTCTGGCCTCAAACATAATTGAAAAAGGGTAAACTAGATATAATCTATGGACTGCTTATCATAATCTTACCAGCTGGGGAACCACTGGCTTGTGGGATACTCTAGTTCAGTGCTTCTCAACTGCGATGCTGCAAGACTCTTTCCCAGGTGCCCCTGTTGCCCATGCTGGTGATGTTGGTGCCCGCTGTGCCTGTTTACAGGAAGCATGTGTGGAGCTGGACCATAAAGCTATTCCTTCACTTTCATAGCCCACTGATGTTGATCAGACTGAAGGTGAAGGAATAAGCTTGGCTAACCTAATTTGGCCAACTTCACACATGTTGGACCTGACTTTCAGAGATGATGGATAAATGGAAGCTGCTTAGTGAGATGTCAGGTCTCAGGTTTGCCACTCAAAAGTTGATTAACTGAAACTTTGGGGACACCAAATTTTAGGCTCATCTACGGGTAGGAAAAGGAAGACTGTTCAAAAAATCTCACTCTTGTTGAAATCAAAGACTATCAAACTTTGCCCAAAAGGACTGAGTGGGGACTTTGTTGAGAACGTTATCCGAGTGTAACCCAACTATAAGCTGTGATATGCAGCCCTTTGATGCTATAGTTCAAAACAGACTGGTAGTACCTGTTCAGCAAATGCGGTAAGGTCATGAATGCTGTGTGCCCCTAGAGGCTGGGGTGGGGGCATGGCGAGCTTCCACAGGCAGCTGCAGAGCTGTCAGCGGTGGAGAGTGCATGGCAAACACCAACCAGCAGTTGACAACCACCCACAGATGCCACCAGCAGCATTGGCAGAAGCCACCGGCAACTGGGGCCGCCCACAGACACCACTGGCAGTGTCGAGCGGCGACCACTCACAGGTGCCACCGGCAGTCTCAGTGGTGCACTGCCAATCTCAGGGGGTGCACATGCACCCCCTACACATCACCAATGGGTAAGGTGATGAAACACAGTTATAATGACAAATTCTGCTCAAAGATATTTCTTTCATCCAGGAAAGGGGAAAAACCCTCTTCATTTTATACTTCTTGGCAGAGATGCCAGAGAAACACTGCCTTCTAAATTTACATATTTTTGTTATGGAGAAGGGACTGTATGTCCTAGATATAGATATGGACATGGCATGGGAAATCTATAACAACTTTATGGGGATGGTGGATCAGATTATGTGCTTCCAGGACAGGGCAAAGCAAGTATGCATGAGTCTATCTGACAGTGGCAAGATGTTATGAGTATTGGGGTATGCGGACAACAGAAATAAATAGCCTGTGAGAACTTTATGTAAAGGGAGGACAAAAGATAATGCTTCTCTGCAGCAACAGGGTTGAAGAAAACAAATCTAGTATAAGAAAAATAAACAAATTTGCACTTCCAATGTGAGGGAAAGTTTGCAACAGTGGCTGTTTCACTATAGTATCTAAAATATGAAGGAATGGGGCATATATTTTCAGGTACTAAATCATAAGAGACTCTCAAAAAGTAATGAGGAAAACTTCCCACGCTGCTGGGATGAAGGGGAAAGGCCTTCTGCTTTACAGCAGCTTTCTAATATGCCAGATGCAGGATAAAGAATAGAATCCAAGAAATCTTCCGAGCTCCCTAAGTATCCTTAAATCTCAATTCCAAACATAAATCCAAAACCATGTGCCTGTTTCGAAACAGAAACATATTTTAAAGTACATGAAATAATTTATTTAGTATTTCTCAAGACCTCTAAAGCAAGGCCTTGGGTTTATATATCATCTTTATCTGCATGTTGCAATAACATCAATTTCACCATCATGATGGAAAGTATCTGTAAGGTATGCAAGTTCTTTATGGTCATAATGTGTCTTCTGATATATTGACTTCTCAAGTTCCCATAAAACTCATAAAACCCATATATGTGATAAAATGGCTGGCTGGCTGCCTACAGAAGACAGCTGTTTTATCATATATGATTCCAAGTTTTCTACTGAGTCTTATGGGAACTTGAGAAGTCAATGCATGTATGTATATACACACACACACACACACACACAAAATAGCCATTTTAATCCTGTTTCTCTGGTAAAGCATAAATACGCTTTTCTTACAACTAGCATAAAAATAGGATATTTACATGTATTTAGTTAAATACAGTAATTACAAGTTTTCTGACTCATTCTAAAAAGGTTACTAAGGATGTACTGAGACTAATTTTCAGCTCTTAAGCATACATTTCTGTTTGACTTGTGCTCAAAAGGAATACAGGATAAGACTTTCAAATATATGACTCTTAACCCCCATACAGTTGATATAAAAAGACAGCAAGCACTTAGAAAACAGTATCATTCTATCATCAGTAGGACTAGTCAACATTTATATATCTATACATTTCAACATTTTTAAATTCAAATTGGAAAAATGCCATGCTGTTTTCCCTTTGGTAAATCTGGGCTGTTATGCTGAGATCTAAGTTCTACCAAATCCATTGTGGAGTTAATAACATACCCAGGAATTAAACCTAGTAACACAGAGCATTAAGTAACATGTAAATGTCTACAAGGATGGGTGTTGTTAATAAGAAGTGTGGATAGTTACCATACGAGGGAGTGCTTAGCTTCCATTTGTCAACTCTTTTTAAATGCAGTTGGCAGTAGCAATTTTCTCCTTTCTTCTCTGCCACTGATCAATAACTATAAAAGGGTTCAACAGTCAATGCTTTGCAGGTGTTCCTTTGTAACATGGGAATATTAATTAGAAATTTGAATCACTAATTACTGTTTATTTTCTTTATTTTCTGCACCAGTGGTTTTTAAGCTTTCCCTTTCCAGGCGTTTCATTGCCTTGTAAGTTGTTTTTCATTTGTTTTGCTTGCCTGCATTTCTTCTGTCCTTTTCTTTTGTGGTCATTCTTCCATTGCAAATTATTATTCACTTTCAACATTAAATAATTCTTAAAATGTTATCTTAATATTTTGACTGCCATATTATTTTTATTGGTGCTAGTTAATTATATGTGAGGTTTATTTACTAGTAGACTTCTAGAATTCGGTACATTTCATTTTGCTTTTGTGATATTTGAAGGAATCATAAAATAAGACCAGTAGGGTCAGTGAGGACCTAGTCAGGGAACTTCTGGAGGGACTGGACATATTTAAGTCAGCAGGTCCTGATGATCTCTACCCCAGAGTGCTGAGGGAATTAGCAGAGGTCATTGTGGGACCCCTGGCACGGCTTTACGAGCACTTATGGTGCTCTGGCATTGTGTCAGAGGACTGGAAAAGGCCTAATGTGGTTCCCATTTTCAAAAAGAGGAGGAAGCAGGACCCAAGAAACTATAGGCCAGTTAGTCTTACCTCGGTTCTGGGTAAGCTTTTTGAGAGAATTATCCTGGCGCACGTCTGCGAGGGACCAGTGGGGGAGGTTATGCTTAGGGGCAACCAACATGGGCTCATTAGAGGCAGGTCTTGTCAGACCAACTTGGTCGCCTTCTGTGACCAGGTCACAAAAGCCTTAGATGCAGGGGTAGCAGTGGAAGTAGTCTTTCTGGACTTTAGGAAGGCCTTCGACCCTGTCTCTCACCCCATTCTCATTAAAAAACTGGGGGACTGTGGCATCAATACCTGCACAGTCAGATGGGTCACTAATTGGCTGGAGGGCCACACCCAGAGAGTGGTGGTGGATGGGTCATTTTTGACCTGGAGGGATGTGGGCAGTGGGATCCCCCAGGGCTCGGTCCTTGGGCCCGCACTGTTCAACATCTTCATCAGCAACTTGGACAGTGTGGTGGGGTAAAAAGCACCTTCTTCAAATTCGCATATGACATTAAGCTGTGGGGAAAAGTGGGCACGCTAGAAGGGAGATATAGGCTGCAATGAGACCTGGACAGGTTACAGGGGTGGGCGGA